ATAGTATTAAGATTTATAAATAATATATAATTATTTTTAATAATTCTAAAATTAATAATGATTCCTTATAACTTCTAAAATATAATACTAAATATAGCTATATTTATAAAAAACAACAAAAATAATGATGATTTATATTTTTTAAAAGAATGTATAGTATTATTAGAAATATTTTTAAAATTAACAAAAATATCTTGTTTGTTTAAATATAGAATTTTAGTGAATTTTTAGAAACAAATGCAATTATTTTTACCATATATATGGAAATATGGAAGATGTGTCTTGGAAATACATTTCTAACATAATAATTAAATTTATTATTACAAAAATATATCAAGTGTTATTACTATCCATTTATAGAAATATGAAAGGTGTGTTTTGAAATATAGATTTTTAATTGTGTTATTACTAGGCAATTATTTTGTATCTGTTTTAGAATATATATCTTTTTTAATAATAAGTGCTATTACGCATTTATTTCATACAAAGTAGTATTATAATTTTATAAATTCATTTCATTTTTCTTAAATTCAAAGTTTGTAGTTTAAGTATTATTTTTTGGAACAATAAAAACTTTACAAATAAAATAAATGTGTCATACTCAGAACATTAAATTTGAAGGTAAATTATATGTATGGACACTTGACATCCCTTCTACATCTAGAAAAAGAACGAGAGAAAATGAAAGGTAAATGAATATTAGTGCTGTGTAACCATCCTAATTTAAAACTGAAAGAGTAGAGAGACGTGGACACGTGTGAGCCTTAAAAAGATTTACATCTTATCAATTTTAATAAAAAGTTATCAACTATAATTTATAACATTATTTTAAATTTTTATATTTAAAAAAAAATCATAAATGTTATTGTTGAGTTTAAAAATAAACAAATATTAATATTAAAATGTGTAAAAATTTAATAGTGATGTATTTAATAAAATTGATAAGAATACATGTGTATATAATAATAAAAATAAAAAGATAGAAAATATATTATGGCGTTATGCGGCAGAGTGGGTATTATGGTACTTGTATTTGTGCTCTTACCTGCTTATTTTAGTGTGTAATTGTTCGTACTCATACCTGTATCTATTTTGCAGGTTTTTACCATATCCATTATGGGTAATTTTTGCGGGTACCTACTAGAAATGAGTCCAATTATCATCCATAGTGAATTAGTTCAATTGATATGTGTTAGTTGATTTATACTCATTTCTCTAGTTGGTTCCCTTTATAAGTTAGTTGCCAAGGTTTTGGCCAAAAGGTTGAGCTCTGTGGTGGATAAGTTAATCTCCCCTAATCAACCCGTCTTCCTTAAAGGGAGGGTGTTGGTGGATGGAGTAGTTGTAGTTAATGAGGCGGATTTTGATAAAATGTATGATTTTGTTAGTTGGAACTTTTTGGATTATATGCTTGTCAGATTCGACTTTAATAATAAGTGGATATCCTAGATCAAAGCTCGTGTGTTTGCTGGTAATCTGGTTGTGCTTGTTAACGTGTCCCCGATGCAAGAGATTAAGATTGAAATTGGTTTAAATCAGGGAGATCCTTTAGCTCATTTCTTTTTCCTTCTTGTGGCTGAAGGTCTGAGTGGGTCGATCAAGAGGGCACTGACCTTAGTATTTTCTCTGGGTTTAAAGTGAAGATATCTAATTTAACCATTTCTCGCCTTCAATATGCTGATGATACCTTAATCTCGGGGGAGCCCTCGATTGAGAATATGTGGGCTATTAAAATGGTCTTGAGGTGTTTTGAGTTAGCTTAGAGGCTTAGGGTCAATTTCCATAAGAGCAACCTGATTGGGGTTAATGTTGATCCTTCTTTCTTAGCTTTGGCTGAGAACTATCTCAATTGCAAGATTGAGTATCTTCCCTTTAAGTATCTTGGGAGTGAGTGTTAATTCAATATTGGAGGATATTTGGGAACATATGCTCAATTTAATTTGGAAAATATTACACTTATGGAATCATAGATATGTTTGTCTTAGGGTAGAGTTACTCTCTTTAACTTTGTTTTTAATGTGATCCATGTGTTATTCTTCTCCTTCCTTAAGATGTTTGTGAAAGTGTGGAAGAAGTTGGTGCAAATTCAGAGGAATTTTCTTTGGGGAGGTATGAAAGGAGAGTGTAAGATACCTTGGGTCAGGTGATCTGATGTGTGTCAGCCTAAGAAAGTTGGTAGTCTAGGTATTAAAGATCAAAGGGTTTATTTAGCTTTTCTAGCAAAATGGATAGGGTGCCTGTTATCGGGTGCTTCAAGCTTGTGGGTTGATATTTTTGTATCCAGGTATGATATCTCTATAGTCACATATGGGGGTCACACCTTAGGACATAGATCTTTATCTGCCCAGTGGAAACAAAAATCTCTTCTTGGACTTAAAAAGGACGATCCCATTAACTGGTTTGAGGGTGAGTTTGTGAAAAAGGTGGGGACATACGAGTTAACATCTTTTTGGAATGATACATGGGTTGAAAATGTTCCCTTGAGCTCTATATTTCATAGACTTTTTATCATCTCTCAAAGAGAGAGAAAAATTGTATTGTTAGTGAAATAAGGAGGTGGGAGGGGAAATGGTTTGGAATTTAGGTTTGAGGAGGCCTTTCTTCATTCGTGAAGAGCCTATGGTTGTTGAGTTTTTCTTGGTCCTCTAAGGCTTTCAATTTTGGAGGGTGGGGACAGCTGGAAGTGGAGACATTCTAAAGATGGTATTTTTTTTAACATCTGCATATCAAATTCAGGTGGATTTTTATCCTCCTCTAGAGGCTTCCTTAGCTAAGGAGAACCTGATTCTTCCTCTTATTTGATAAAGTTGGGCATAAGGTCTTGATCTTTTTCTTGGCAGATTTTGCATGATAGACTTCCCTATAAAGAAAATTTGTTTATGAGGGAGGTTATTGTAGATATAGGGGAATCTCATGTATCTTTTGTGATCATTGGATGGAATCTGCTTCTCATTTATTTGTTACTTGCACTTTTGTGTCCAGTGTTCAATATGGGATATTTAGGTGGTTAGGGTTTCAGTTGGCCTTACCTAAGGAGTTGGGGTGTATTTTAAGGTTCTTGTGTTCCTTAGGAGGGATGTCTAAGTCTAGGGGTTGCTTTATCTTGATTTGGCATGCAGTGATTTGGTCTATTTGATTAACAAGGAATGATAAGCTTTTTGTTGGGTTGACAATAAATGTAAAAGAGGTGGAGAATAAGAACATTCATTTGGCCTGGAGTTGGATCCATAATAGGTTCATGCTAAATTCTATCTCCTTCTTTGATTGGCTGCAGAATCCTATCCATTGTCTAAGCCATTAGTGGTTCAAGTGGTATGGCCTACTCCTCCAGGTGGCAGTGGCTTTTGTTGGTTTGATGTGGCTCTTTTGATCTGTTAATGGTGGGCATGGTGGTTTGAGTTCTAGTTCTTTTGCTTTGTTGGGTTTTCTATTTTGGTACTGTCTGTTGTTGCGTTTTTGTCTTTGTTGTTTCCTTTTTTTGGTTGTTGGCTCTCGTTGTTGGTTTTTTCCCCAACTATTTGGAGTTGTTTGGTTTTTGTTTGGCACATCTTATACCTTGGCCATTGTTATATTTCTTTATTTTTTTTAAGTCGTATTCTCCTTGATCTTTTTTTCTCGTTTATATATTCATATATCACTATTTTGCCTTTCAAAAAAATTTTAAACTAAATATTGATATTTATAAATCAATAATTAAAAAAAAAAACAAATCACTAACTGGTCTCACCTGATCAGCAAGGAATTAGTAGCTTGCCACGCGTCATGAGTTGTTGCCTTCATCGGTGTTGTAGAGGAGGAGGGGATATATCTGCAAGGTGCTCTGATGCTTAAGTGAGTAATGAAATTAGAGAGAGAGAGAGAGAGAGAGAGAGAGAGCAAATATAGAGAAAAAGTGTGGTGAATGAGATATCTGGCCCTCTAGTGAAAAAGGATATTTATAGGGGGTCCCCAGCGCAGGGCCAACGGTTATAATGCATTGGATCGGGTTGCCAAGCCCAACACAAGTAACTGCCAGAGCTTACGTGGCGTAGTGAAGATTATCACATGGTTTTCGCACTGGATCAACTGCCCCGTGATTTTCGGAAGGTGGGTTGACCAACTCTTTCGAAAGTGGATAGTTGTCTGATGACGTGTCCCCGTGTGGGGACACGCGGAGTCCGTGAGGAAAGCGTGTGGACTTCCTCATCAGGAAAGTCCTCTGCCCAACTATTGTTTCTGGTTAAGCCTTGTACCCGACAGAAGGGGATTTGGGCCTTATCGGACCTTAGGTCTCTTCAGCATTAGGTTGAGCCTGCCTGACTGTGGGGTAGGTCCCGGCTCAGTCCAGAACACTAACATTTAAAATTATAAAATACAGTCATGAGAGTTTAAAAAGGCCTAATAATATTTATTTAATTTAATTTGTGTAAGACATGTTAAACTAACATATATTTCAAAAACATTATGGTAGTAACAATTTTTTAAAAATATATTTTAATTTAAAATTCAAATAATCCCATCAAATTTATATTAAACTTTCATAATTTTTAAAAGTAAAATAAATTTTAATAATAATTTTTTTTATTAAATAGATAATTTCTTGTTTGTCGTTTTAAAAAGGATAAACAAATTGCGTATGTATAGATTTCAATGTTCAAAAATGGTAACTGTTGTGAAAATTAGTTTCACAACTAACAAACCAACCTCAACTGTGACACTGATACACATACATATAGAACCCAAAAACTGTCTGGTAGACCAACCAGTCAAAAATACTCCATAATCTCATACCCATGCTATTCCTTATAATTTCCTATCTCTTTTCTCTTTTCTCTTTTCTTAACCAACAAACCTTCTTCCATAATCTCAACTACAAGCCACACCTGCAAGTCTACATATATATACTCCTTCGTTGAAAGTTCAGCTTACCATATGTTCTTTCTTAATTTTGTTGCTTCAAACTTTTTTACTACTTTTGAAAGTTATGATTCTCGCTCGGAGAACTGAATGAACGAAGAAGAATGGCTGCTCCGACTTCGGAAGGCGGTTGTAATAAGCTTCAAAACATGTTGCAGGCTGCAGTGCAATCGGTTCAATGGACTTATAGCCTCTTCTGGCAAATTTGCCCACAACAATTGTACAATTTTCTTATTTTTTTATTTGAACTTAGCAAGACACACTTTACTAAACTATATTATAATTATTTTAATTGTATTATTTTAGGATACTGGTTTGAGGTGATGGATATTACAACGGAGCAATTAAGACGCGGAAGACGGTGCAACCAATGGAGGTTAGTGCTGAAGAAGCTTCTCTGCAAAGAAGCCAGCAACTAAGAGAGCTGTATGAATCGTTATCGGCCGGAGAGACAAATCCACCAACTCGTCGACCATGTGCTTCTTTGTCGCCTGAAGACTTAACAGAGTCTGAATGGTTTTATTTGATGTGTGTCTCTTTCTCATTTCCTCCTGGTGTCGGGTATAATTCACCTTCTTCTATTATTTGATACCTAGCTATAACTCACTCTCTTTTCATACTATGAATTTCATTCACCTATACTATAGCGTTATCTTTAATGTACAATAGAAAATACTTAACTATAATATTTTAATATTTGAAAATTGTGATGGGTTAACTATAGCAATTTTTATAAATATAATTAAGATTATGCTAGGCAACGAGTCACGCAGCTATTTTAAAAGACAAACGGACATGTTTGTTTCGTTTATATTCATCTTACTAAAGTCTACAAAAATAAGGTGAGACAGAGCGGACATTATTGAGAATGCAGTTCTAAAACCTAAATCGTCCTGCAAAAAATAAGAGTATCGCGGGGAAAATTCACAAGCATTATACCTTTTTAACTCTAAAAATGACAAATTAGGGAACAAAAACTCAAACCTTTAACTTATTTCAGGTTAAAATACAGATAAAATAGACATCAAAACCAAATCCGTTTTATCACCTTAACTACTAGCTTTTTTGAATGCATGACAATTAAATTTATAATTTTAGTCTAAAATTCAAATGTTTTCTTATCATGGTGATGGATGGCATTAAAACATTTGAATTTTAGACTAAAAATTGGATACTAAAATTCGATTTGGATTAATTCTGGCATTAAATATCATTTAACGCATACTATATTAATAAATTAATTAATTAGTATTTTTTCGCGTGAATGACCTATTTAAAATAAAATAGTGGTTTATGATCCATTTCAATTTTCAATACACATTTTTCAATTTTACCTTATAATTAATATTATTTTTATCATTCTTAATACAAGATAAAAATATTTTAGTAAAACTATCATTCTCTCTTTTATTTATTTATTTTAATCGGTATGAACTAGTCAACCGAGTTATTGTGGGACGGCGGAGTATATTAATATACTTATAGACACTATATATGTGTACCTAGCTAGGTGATGAGAACAGAAAAATTATAGTCATTTTGGGTGAGAGAGAAGCGGAGGATCTAGCTAGCTATTGTGAAATGCATGTGATCGAGTTTTAATGCAAAAAAAGCATGCAGCTGTAAAAATTTAATAACATACCAATTATGTTAACATAGTTTTTGAAAACAAAATCTTTCCTTTCTTTTGTTAGAACAAAATTGAAGACTGTTAAATCATTTTCTCATAAAGATCTTTGGCTTGAAAGTCATGAATGTATAAAACTATACATTGTTTTCCCTCGGGTGGGATATGTATTTTGGTGAAGCATGCAGACTGTCACAGAGGCCCCTGTGAGTTTGCTTAAATGCAGCATCATCACCTTTCAATTTATGAAGTCTCACCAACAAAAATAAACATATATAACATTTCATCTAAATTTTCGGTTTCTGAGTTACAATATACAATAACAAGGAGGTAGTCACGGTTTATTTGCAGCAAAACATTATTGACATTATTGTGCTTGTGACAAATGTTTTATGAAATCTTATTTTTTCATAGTTTGACTGCGGCTGACAAATATTTTACGAGATCTTATTTAATTACAGTTTGTCTTGTAAAATTTTAGACCTTATATAATAGGTCATTTTGCAAGTAATAAATTTTTTCATACTTAAATACAACATATATTCACGTATATATGGCCAGTAACAACTTGTCTATAGGCCAAAAAGTTAGCTAAAAACTTTATTACTTGATTATATACTAGATAAAATATGTTGCAGAAAGTATAATAAATGAAGAAGTAGACTATATGTTAAATAGTGAATCTGACAATATTGAAAATGAGAGTGTTAGATTATATTTGAGGAATATATATTCAGAGGATTCTATGGAAAGAGAGTTTTTTTTGGCTGGTGAAGTATTTAGTTGCACATTATTATACGTTTGAATAGGACATTTAGTTACTTACTTCAAGAAATCAGACAAATATGAATGCATTTTCAGACTTCAAAATAAATAACTTTGCTGTAAAAAAATCCACACTATTTTTACTACCATTCTATATTTGGAACTTTACAACATCACATTTCACTTTCTTTGTCTCTATCAAAGTTTAACTTTTCATATATCATTAGTATTTGGATGATACCTGTTTTTATCATAGCTTCATATAGTTTCTCCTATATTGCTAACAATTCATTTTGCAACAGCATCAAAATGATAACATCAATTGGTCACTGTGTATGCACATTCCTCACAGTAATTAGTTCTAGATTATTAAAGAATAAGAGGTAGATATATAGATAGGATATAAATGTAGGTTATTCTATCTATAATAATATATACTTAGTTACATTACATATATACCAAAGCTAGCTATAAGTATATAAATTTGATTTGATGACAAAGAAAAAGCATATTATATAGTTGAGAGGGGTATAATAAATTGATGTTTTTTTGCTGAAAAACTTGAATTATTATAACTTTTGAAATTATTATTTTTAGTAGAGTAAAGAAATAAGTTATTTTATGTGTTTATAAGGTTGCCAGGAAAGGCATATGCTAGGAGGCAACATGTATGGCTCACAGGTGCAAATGAGGTGGATAGCAAAACATTTTCAAGAGCTATTTTAGCCAAGGTAATCTCCGATTATCATATAGTTAATATAATTACTTTGTATTAAGAGGATGAGGATATTTTATTATTGATTTTTTTTTAGTTTTCACTATTAGTATCACGATATTTTACTATCTATTTTTTTGTATTGATACTTTTTATAAAGTAGAGAAATTGAATAACACAACAACTTTATCAATTAAGCTGCTTACTTTGGCAAGTTTCCATTTAAAAAGAAAGTTTTTAGAAGTTGCTTTAATACTATGGATTTATTGAACATTATGAAACTTAATTTACTAACAAACTTATCTTTCCTATGGCTTCTCAATGATGACAACTTTTTCTACCGGCTAGAGTGCTCATATACAGGTAACAATATTTCCAACTAGTTTTATCCATTTTTAGCTTTAATTTTGTACTCCATTAAATTCTAATGAAAATCATAAAATAAACAAAATAGTACTTTTTTTATCTAATGATTTGTGCATATGCAAACTACAGACTGTGGTATGCATTCCTGTGTTGGATGGTGTCGTTGAGATTGGCACAACTGATAAGGTAACACACTTTCTAGTAATAGAATAATTCTGTGGATTGAAATGCAATAAATAAATATATATAAACTTTAAAAAATAACACAGACAAATATTTAAAAGATAGGCGTTTAATACAGCTCAGATAATAGTTGTGCAGAGATATCAGAGATTGATGTGAGCAGCTTAATCATTATTATATTTATGTTTGTTACTTTTTTAGATTCAAGAAGATCTTAATTTCATAAAACACGTGAAGAGTTTCTTCATAGACCACCACTCTTTGCCACCAAAGCCAGCACTCTCAGAACACTCAACCTCCAATCCAAATTACTCAACCGATCACATTCCTGCCATTATGTACACGGTGGCAGACCCGCCATGCACAGCAATTCCCAATCAAGACGATATGGATGAAGATGAGGAAGAAGATGAAGAAGATGACGAAGTTGAATCTGAATCCGAAGATGAAACCAATCAAGGTCGTAACCAACATGCAACCTCTATAATAGAGGTTGCGGAACCAAGTGAGCTCATGCAAATTGAAATGCCCGATGATATTCGGATTGGGTCACCCAACGACGGATCGAATAATTTGGACTCGGATTTTCATTTGTTGGCCGTAAGTAACCAAGAAAATCCGTCAAGACAAGTTGATTCATACAGAACCGAGAGATGGGGTCCAATCGAAGAACCTCCGGATGATCCACTACAAGTTCAATTATCATCTTCAGGTAAACCTATTATTATTAATTAAAATTATTATTATAACTTAAAACAAACCTAAGTTACAAATATTTAGGTTTATGAACTCAAAAAAACATAATCACACAAGTATCATGTAGAGTGGACTCACAAACCAAAGTATACAAGTTATAAAGTTTTTAAAATTTTAAACATAATTCTGGCTGAAATTTCATCTTCTAAAAATGAATAACTAAAATATATCGGACTCGAATAGACAGCCACCAATTGAACTGATTTAATGAAACAATGAATCGTTTATGCGAATTGGACCACACAAGGGTACATAGAGTTTGGGGGGCTAGCTAGTGATTAGATCCAAACATTTTTTCTCACCACAGATCAATGTGGTCCATCCTAATTAAGACCATTGTCTACCCCATTTTTAGTGGGGTCCCCTACCCTATCTATGAAAAATCGAATTCATTTTACTGCTCACCCACCAAAAATGTTCAACAGCCCCACGATACATTACACAAATAATAGTAATACCACAACATACATTAAACTTATATAGTAGTAATAAAGCTTCTATTTTATTTCAATAATTATAAAAGTGTCAAGTGTAAATTTGGATTGGCTTCAACTAGGTACTATTTTGTGGGCCTTAAAAACTTGCACATGACGTTAAACAATAACCGGAGTCTGTTTAGTAGCAGTGTCTGGTGATTAAGAAAAAGTTGCAGATAGCTACAGAATCTGACAATATACGGAATTTGTTTGCACCAAAAAATACATTTTGAAATTAATTAGACAATTCGTACGTACAAGTTTATTTATGTTATCTTCACCTCTAAAAGAACGAACAATTTGGAGGAGTATATGCTCTTTTTTTTCTTGATAGAAAACCAACACACATAAAATTTGAATGGTAATGATAGGTTCATAAACATGGTTTCAAATAGAGAACTGTCATTTTCAACATCCTTTGTGACATTATAAGTTCAACAACTTTTAAATTGTTCATACAAAAATTTTAATAGATATCCACTTCATATTCATTATTATAAAAAAAATTATTTTGTAAATTCATTGAATAAAAATATATATGATTTATATATAGAGTTGATAGATCATTTTTTCATCTTAGTTGTTAATCCATAACCATTTGTGTCCTAGAATGTTAAGTTATTAGTAGATTAACAACTAACTAACTAAATTAGTTAATTAGATTGGTTGGTTACTTAACCAACAAGATATATAAAGTCATTGCATAGTTCGGTTTTCAATTAATTCAATAATTCATTCACTTTTAGCATAACTGCATTTTTCTTCATTGTGTAAAGATTCTTTCTTGCATCACAAGAAACAATAGAGTTATGTTAATAGTTGGCATTGAGAGCATGATTTGGTCTTAGGAAACCACAAGAGAATTGTGAGGGTCATATATACCATTTAGAAACAAAGAGTGAGGAGTAAGTTTCAGTCTTCTTGATCGGCGAGAATGAAGACAAATGGTGGCTTTCTATCAAAAATATTGGTTCTTGATGGAGATAAATGAAAAAGATGGAGGGATTTGATGAAACCTTTGTTTATAGCTCAAGAAGTGTTTGAGATGGTTCATGATAGTTATGAGGAACTGGAAGTATAACTTACAAAAGTGCAAAGAGTCACATATAAAAAACATAAAAGTCGAAGAAGAAGGATTGTAAAGCTTTGTTCTACACTTAACAAAATATGAATATTCATTACTTTAAAAAGATTTCTAAGGTAACAAGATCAAAAGTGGCGTGAAATATTATACCGAAGTACCATGATGGCGACGAAAAGGTGAAGCAAGTGAAATTTCAATCTTTAAAGAAGAAGTATGTGTTAATGCAGATGACAGAAGATCATCAGATAAGTGACTACTTCTTTAAATTGATTGTACTGGTGAATTAAGTGAAGACTTATGGTGAGAAAATTGATGATTAGCAAGTCGTTAAGAAAGTAATGAGATCCCAGACTTCAAGATTTGGTTTTGTAGTGGTGGAAATTCAAGAATTCAAAGATTTGAAGACCATGAAAATCGAGAGTGGAAGAAATATGTTCAATAAAGGAAGTTCAAGAAGAAATATAGAAAGCTTCAAGAGTGGAAGTTGGTATAACAATGGCAAATCTAAGTTTGATGACAAAGTTGAATTTGCCAAGAAAGGAAAAGGTTTTAGAACCAACAAATCAAAGAAGAAGGAATTCGTTTAAAAAAGGAAAGTGTTGTGCGACGATTATGATAGTTATGATAATTTGTTGGTGAATGTTGGCACTAGAAATAAGGCAATAAGAATCAACGAAGTGATGAAGAGGTGCACATAGCTCATGATGATGATGATGATTCATAATCAATTTTGCTAATAGCTATAACATATGAAAGAAATCTATGTATGATTTTTGATTCAAGGTGTTCAAATCACAAGAGTAGCCCAAATAATGTCTCACAAACTTTGATCATAGAAAATGAATCAATGTCATACTAGCAAATAAAGTTGCCTTTCACAATAAGCCATGGATGGCAGTGTCATCAACTTGAATGCACCCATTGAAAAGGTAATTTATGTACCTGGTATATGTTAAGATACATGTGTGAGTTGGAAGTCCCATATTGTTTAGAAAAGTGGAGGTTGAGCACTTTATAAGTGAGATGACCTATATACACATTGCCTAGATTTTTATGAATATGTGGTGTCTCTCTCACTTATGTGTTTCTCTTGACCAATATGGTTGTTTCCCTCGTTATCCAGCAGCGGTATTAGAGTAGATAGTTCAAGTAAAGGAACGATCCATCGTATCAAAAGTCTACTTAATATGGTGGTGGTTGGAAACATGTCCCGTTGAAGTGCATATGACGTGGTATGGGTGTCAATGGTGGTACAAATGTATGTACTCACACTTGAGAGAAAAATTGTTAAGATACAAGTGTGAGTTAGAAGTTTAGTATGACGTGCAACTAATTTTGATTATTAAGAATAGTAATTCACTACAGTTATTTGACCCTCACAAGAAGTTGGTACTAAAGTAAACCTTCTCAAAGAATAGGACATTCAAATGTAGCATTCTGATTGTAAAGGAAATGTGTGAGGTATATCCACTTAACTTTTAGAAGCCTAAGTGAATTAAGCTCTAAGAATTTAGCATATTACCTACCTAAACTGAATGCAAATATATTATCTTGTGAAGTCGGTTTTAGAGACGAACATATATAACAAACTATCCTTTGCAATAGACATACCTAAGCGATCAAATAATGCACTAAAGGTTCTGCATGCTAATATATATGGCCCTTCTGAGGTATCATCATAACATTGAATAAATTATTTAATAACTTTTGTTAATGAGCATACAATAATGATGTGGCTATATACCATCAAGCTCAAAAGAGAAGCTTTTGATGTGTTTAAGAAATTCAAAATATTAATTGGGAAAGAGAGTGGAAAGTCAATAAACATTTTGAGAACTGTGGTGGTGGAGAGTATAACTCAAGAATTTCAATCAGCTTACATTAGTGAATGCATAATACACTATGTTACATCACCTTATAATCCTCAACATAATGGTATTGCGGAAAGAAGAAACATGGTCATACTTGACATGGCCAAGAGTATGTTAAAACACAATAACATGCGTCATAATAGGGAGAAGCAGTCAACATAACTACTTATATACTAAACAAATGCTCCACACAAAAATGAGCATAAAAGCGCCCAAAGACACTTAGAGTGAAAGAAAACCAAATGTGAATCATTTTAAAGTGTTTTGATCATTAGGTTTCAAACATATACCTGATTAAAGAAGAAGTAAGTTGAGTGACCAAAATGAAAGCATGATATTCATAAGATATTATTAAACATGATCCTATGAGATATATAATGATGTAATTCAAAAGGTGCACATCAATAGATATGTGAATTTTCAATAAATCACAAGCATGGAATTGGTAAGACACACTAAAGAAAGGAACTAATTTCAGTCGTGTCTTTGTTGAAGCTAATATGAGTGAATGGTCATATGAAGAAATTATTGTTGGAGACACTATAGTATCCAATGATAGACCAATAGAAGCTTAAACACATGTGAGGCCTTAGAGAACAAGGAAAGTTCCCAATAGACTTACAAATTGTGAGTTACTCCCTAATTGTGGAGTAAATAATAAATGTGAATTCATTCATTTTACTTTGTTAATTGATATTATATCAATTGACTATGACAAGGCAATAAAGAACAAAGTATGGAAGAAGGTCGTGATTGAGGAACTCAAGTCAATTTAGAAGAATCATGCTTGAGAATTGGTTACTGTACTTGAAAAAAAGAAAACAGTTGATGTGAAGTGAATTTTTAAGGTCAAAATGAACCCAAGTGATAAAATTTTATAGCATAAAGCAATGTTGGTAGCTAAAGTCTTCTTGCATAAGTATGGTATTGACTATAATGAGGTGTTTTCTCGTGTGACAAGACTTGAAACAACAAAACTAGTTGTGAAAATAGCTAGTAATGAGAATTAGTTCTTCTATCACTTGGATGTCATGCCTGCATTCTTAAAAGGTCCATAAGAAGAAATAATCTTTGTCACTCAACCGCCGGAATTTTAGGTAAAAGGAAAAGAGAATATGGTGTACAAGTTGCACAAAGTTTTCAATAGATTAAATCAAACTCTTAGAATCTGAAGCACAAAAATTGACTAATTTTTTATTGAGCTCAGATTGAATATAGTGTCCATGCAAAAAGTTTTAGAAAATTTAAATATTATCATGATATTCATATAGGTGGATATTCAACTCATCATTATTAACTATGCATAAATTTTCATTTAAGTATTTCTTTTAGATTTCAAAGTTACTCAAAATCAAATTTACTAAATTATCATTTTAAAATTTAAACTAGTATTTTTTTTATAGTAAATATTTTCTATGAATGATTTGTTTAAAAATATACTTTTTCCATGTTTTAAAATGACTGTCTAAAATTTTAGTATACAAATTAAAAAGTATAATAATATTATCCTAAAACATTAGTAAACTAATCTTATTCAAATATTTAAGGTAGAATATAAAATAATAATTAAAAGACACAACTAAACAATTATAATCATTACTAAATTAAAAAGGGAGAATCAACCTCATTTCATACCAATTTTATTTGTTATAACAAAATTCATTTTGAAATATTAGAAAAAAAGAAAAAAAATCATTTTGAAATAGTAATTGAGTAGAATACTTAACAATTGACATGTCTTTGTTCTTTCTTTCTATGCAGTGCTTCATCATCCATTAGAAGACTTAACACAAGAAGACACACACTACTCTCAAACAGTAACCACCGTTCTCCAAAACCAATGGATCGATTCACCTTCCATCAACTACATCAACTACTCCACCCAATCCTCTTTCACCACCTGGACCAACCACCACTTCCACCCGCCACCGCCGCCGGACACCGCCACCTCCCAATGGCTCCTCAAATACATCCTCTTCACAGTCCCATACCTCCACACCAAAAACCACGACGAAACCTCCCCACAAACACACGACACCGCCGGAGTCAACAGCAACGATCCCTCCGCCAGGCTACGCGGCAAGGGAACTCCCCAAGACGAACTCAGCGCGAACCATGTCCTCGCTGAGCGACGGAGGAGAGAGAAACTCAACGAGAGGTTCATAATTCTAAGATCATTGGTTCCTTTTGTTACGAAGATGGATAAAGCTTCTATCTTAGGCGACACGATTGAGTATCTGAAACAGCTTCGGAGAAAGATTCAAGATCTTGAGACACGTAACCGTCAGATGGAGTCCGAGAAAAGTGGAGTACCCGTTTTGGTGGGTCCGACTGAGAAGAAAAAAGTGAGGATTGTGGAAGGGAATGGCGGTGGTGGGGGCGTTAGAGCGAAAGCAGTCGAGGTTGTTGAGAAAGAGATTGTTGCGTCGGTTCAGGTTTCGATTATAGAAAGTGATGCTTTGTTGGAGATTGAATGTTTACAAAGAGAAGGGTTGTTGTTGGATGTTATGATGATGTTGAGAGAGTTGAGAATTGAGGTTATCGGAGTTCAATCTTCGCTTAACAATGGCGTTTTCGTCGCGGAATTGAGGGCTAAGGTTAAGGAAAATGGTAATGGGAAGAAAGTTAGCATTGTGGAAGTTAAGAGAGCACTTAACCAAATTATACCTCATAATAATATTTAGTGTATGTTTGAATTCACAACGAGTTCGACAAAATCGCGATGATTGTTGTGATTCTGTCAAACTCGTTGTTAATCCAAACATAGTCTAATGATACATCATTGGTACACATTGGCTTATAATATGTACATAAAACTCTCAACTCGACTCTGATATCAAGTGGATTTTGATTGTCTACTGTTGCCTCAGTGATTAGAATGATGATGAATAACAAGAAACTAGGAATTTGTATTGTCTTTAGAATCTAATGAATTAAACTAGGTAGTTTTATTGAATACTGCATAATTTATGATGTACAAGAATGAATGGAAATTGATTGTCCTCTTATTTCAAATGAAAAGCTATTTAGTAAGTCCATTCCTTTGGTAGAAATATCTCTTGAGCAGAACATTTTTTCTGAGATATAACACTACATTGCTTAGAAGCGTCTTTCTGGTCATTTTTCTTTTCGGTTGAACTTTTATCAGACGCTTCTCTGCATCTCGGTTTATATTTCTGAACTGCAACGAGATGAAAGGCCATGTTAATTAATAATTACGTTTTGTTGCAGAAAGCCAAGAAGCTATAAATTTTAAAATTGTAAATTAAACTTATAAGAATTCAAATTCTGTTTTTAGACCTTGTGGAGGTGAAATCTGTACACCCAATGCATGGACGTTTATATTTAGAGCTTCAACAACTCGGGCGGGAAGGAGTACTGGTGCACAAGCTGCAAAACAGTTATAACTGTAACTGTAAGATGCATACATAAATCAAAGTTCAACATATTAGATTCTGTTTTTTTGTTACGAAAGTGATCGATCAATGAACAGAAATATCAACCTGGCCTTTTTCTTGGTTGGAACTTTGTGTCTGCTATTTGAGGTAAAAATACGCCAGTACCACACGATCCATTCCTTGATTCTAAAAAAATAGCCCGCATTCCATTTCCAATTCTGTGGTTCGCGAGTTTTGGCCTTTGGTATGAAGATCTTGAAGCGGTTATCGATTCTGATTCTCTAGATGATTTGTGATGATTCAACTTTTGTTGGTTTAGTACCTTCTGGTTTTGATGATGGTTTCTTATACATAGCTGAAGAAAGGAAATTATATTAAAAAAATATAAGATAAGATAACAGCCTCATACATTTGATCAATGAGTTCAATCAAACAATTTATGTAATGTAACCCGAGTTCGAATTCTGACAGGAACAATACTTGAACAATATGAAGAATCATAGTACTATTAGATATGATAAAGTAATCTTGAAATACTTGCCTCGTCGAGAACATAAGAGGGTAACCAGAGCATTCCTTCTTCAAAACCAACTTCAGAATCATCATGAACAATAGTAGTGGCCATGGCTAGAAAGTGATTATTAACAGAACAGCTTAATGTTGTTTTTTCTTATTGTTTAAGATTTTGAAGACAGTTGTTTGCTTTTAAAGCTCTAATAAAGTGTAAACTTTGGTACTTTTAATGTTGTAGTTGTATAATAGAAAATTATAAGTAACTTTGGTGGGTATGGTTGAAGGATATGGAGGAATATGTGGGTTGGGTAAACCCCTATTTCTCTACTTCTTGGCTTGGTTTGCAATTATTTAATACTATGGAAATGTTTGTATTGTTAATTTGTTCCTAACCTTGTTATTTGTCTTTTGGTTACACTACTTCCTCTGACTTTTTTTTTTATATATTTAGTTTTTGATAGTCAACAGCTTGCTATTTAGGTAATCGGTTTAAAAGCATGCAGCTTATCATCCCTACTTGTCAAAAGGAGAAGAAAAAGCAGAGAATGATTATATAATAATTTAATGAGAAAATAAAAACGCTTATGTAAGTTATGTTATCTAGGTCTTATGTTATGTACCAATAAGTGGAAGCTTGAGACTAACATTTTCTAACCCACCACACCAAATCCTCACATCATGTTTGAAATAATTGCGTGAAACAAACATGTGTGTATGTATATCAAGATTTTCTATTAATTTTTTTTTGGTATTTTTGATTGAACTTTAGTTTTGACACAAATATTTCACGTTTCGATAGAGTTGTATATGTTGTAGTCGAAATTTGTTCAAACATACATGAGTCGAAGATATATGTGTTGTAGTCAAAGTTTGTTCAAACATGCAGTTTTCTAAGTTAGCTTGTTGGTTAAGCTAGCTTAGTGGTTAAGTTAACTTATTGCTTAAGTTAGCTTGTAGTCTATAAATAGGTTGATCTCTCAAGTTGTTGAGAGGAAGGAGTAGGGGGTGTTAAGTATTAGTTGTTGTTATTCACTTCTAACCTTTTGTCTTAATTGGAAAAGTAAATAGAAAAACGGGTTTCTTGTGTTTGTTCAAGAAACTCAATCGTGTGCCTCTTCTTCCCTCTTTCACTGTTTCGTAAAACTAAAAGGGCTTCTTGTGTTTGCTTAAGAAACTTAATCTTTCTCTTTTTTTTATTTGTTTCTGGTGCGGCGTTTGTCACAACAAACTGGTGCGGTGAGCATGGACAATATGTCGTCAACGAAGTATGCGATTGAGAAATTCACTGGTGTGAATAATTGCAGTTTGTGGCACTTGAAGATGCAAGTCATACTGGTTTAATAGGGTTTGTTAGAAGTGTTGAAAGGATTGGAGAAGATGGATGTTGCCCTAACAAAGAAGAAGAAGATGACGATGATCGAGAAATCTCGCAGTGTCTTTATATTGAGCCTCGGTGATAAGGTTTTCTACCAAGTCTCGAAAGAGAAGACGATAAAAGGTGTGTAGTGAAAACTCAAAGAGTTGTACATGAAAAATCTCTGGTAAATCGTCTATATCTGGTGTCGCTACTCGAAAAAATGCATCGTGCAACGACGGGGAGGCGAAAAGAAAGGACAGAAGAGTCGCCACCGAACTTTATTTATCCCATGAGGGGAAAGGAAAATATCGAGAAAACCTTAAGAAAGAAACGGATAAGATGGTCTCGCAACCAAGAATGGGTTCGGAAGCCGGTTATGCGAGGGGAAGGTATTAGCACCCCTCGCATCCATCGTACTCGATGGGAACCATTTGTTTGTCGACATGTGATAATATTTGATTAAAGATTATGCTATAAAAGTGTTCCAAAAGACAGAGAGAAGGGTTAGAGACAAGGGAAAGAGAGGTAACGGGGGAAGAAGAGAGAAAGAATAGACTCGGTAGGACTTCGCGGTCCTAGGCCTACGTATTCTCAACAGATATGAGAAAGTCAGAGTCCACGTAGTTCGGGGAACTACAAATATAGGGGGAATGTGCTCGGCAAGGATTGGAGCCCTCGTGCCTACGTATCTTTACTTGAAAGAAGTAAAGAATCATAGCAGCCATAGTTCGGCCTACGGTTTGTTAATGTTTTTATGGATGATGCTATTGTGCGCATTCTAGCAGTTCAGGTGTTTTGCTGCTCGCATGTGAGGAGACTTATGCATTACCTGTTTGCGGTAGAACGAACGTAACATACCCTTTTTGAAAGATTAGTTTTCGCCATGCGAGGCAAGATGTTACATTTGATTTGTGAGATTGTTTTTTAGGGGTGAGGTAGATCCTCGGATAGTAACCCCTTGCGGGTAGTACCTAATTCTTTATCTCAAAGTTGTTTGTTATGAAATGGTGTGGCGAACGTAGCGTCTTCGTATTGAAAGATGAGTATCAAGACCACACACATTACAGTGAGCATCCTGACACTCGAAGAGGAAGAAGTCTACACTCTATCCTCTCTCTTTAATTCAATGTAAAGAGAACTTCATTCTCTTATTAAAGATGTTTTTGGTTTTGAATGGTAAGTGTTTCGCGACAGAGAACCCTACGGTAAACGTCAGCACTCGGGATAGGAGAAGGCCTACGCCTAACCACTGCACGACCATTCAAGTTTTTATGAAAAGAAGTTTGAAAATACAATCGGTACGGGACCGAGGTTTTAGGTGAGAAAGGTTGCGGAAGGAAGTTGTGGAGAAGAGGTTATGGGAAGGATAGGTGGTGGATAAAGATCGTGTCTTCATATTAAAAGACGAGTATCGAGACCACCCACACTACAGTGAGTATCCCAACACTCAGAGAGGAAGAAGTCTACACTTAATCCTCTCTTTTTAATTCAATACAAAGATAATTTATTGCTTTATGGAAGTGTTTTGAAAATACAATCGGTACGGGGCCGAGTTTTTTAGGAGAAAAGGGATTGAAAACGTACAAGCGTCTTCGTATTGAAAGACGAGTATCGATACCACCCACACTACAGTGAGCATCCCAACACTCGAAGAGGAAGAAGTCTACACTTAATCCTCTCTTTTTAATTCAATAGAAAGAGATATTGATTTTCTTATTGAAAGGTGTTTTGAAAATGCATTCGGTACGGGACCGAGGTTTTTCGGAGGAGAAGGTATGGAAATGTATAAGCGTCTTCGTATTAAAAGACGAGTGTCGAGACCACCCACACTACAGTGAGCATCCCAACACTCGGAGAGGAAGAAGTCTACACTTAATCCTCTCTTTTTAATTCAATACAAAGAGATATTAATTTTTATGATTGAAGATGTTTTTGAAAATGCACTCGGTATGAGACCGAGGTTTTAGGATGGAAGGTTTGAAAATGAAAGCGTCTTCGTATTGAAATACGAGTATCAAAACCACCCACACTACAGTGAGCATCTCGACACTCGAAGAGAAAGAAGTCTACACTTAATCCTCCCTTTTTAATTCAATACAAAGACGAGTGTCGAGACCACCCACACTACAGTGAGCATCCCAACACTCGGAGAGGAAGAAGTCTACACTTAATCATCTCTTTTTAATTCAATACAAAGAGATATTAATTTTTATGATTGAAGATGTTTTTGAAAATGCACTCGGTATGAGACCGAGGTTTTAGGAGGGAAGGCTTGAAAATGAAAGCGTCTTCGTATTGAAATACGAGTATCAAAACCACCCACACTACAGTGAGCATCTCGACACTCAAAGAGGAAGAAGTCTACACTTAATCCTCTTTTTTTAATTTAATACAAAGATAATTTGTTGCTTTATGGAATAGTTTTAAAATGGGCTAAAAAGCCCAATAACAAAAGAGAAATAAAATGAGAATTAAAATAAAGGAAAATAAAAATGAAAAATAAATTAGCACATTAAAATATGAAAAATATGATATTTGGTATTTTATGATTTTTATAGTTATTTTTTAAATTAATAAAATAAAACAAAAACTAAAATAAATAAGAAAAGAACCAAGGTATATAAAAAAAGTCTCCCCAAGGCTTGAACCCAAGACCTTAGGGTTGCAAGCAAGAAAGCATACCACTCCATCCACTCATACCCATGTGACAAAAATGGTAAAGGAAAGTGAAAATATTAAAAATAAGTAAAATTATGAAAATAAGCAAAAGCACCCCCGCTGGGGTCAAACTCAGGACAAAGGCATGGCAAGGCAAGGCACTAACCACTGGGGTGGCGATACATCCATTATATAACGCCACCCCATTTGAATATATGCCAAAATAAGTGCATTCTTCTGGGCAAGTCAAAGCAAAATCATGAAAATACGTTTTGATCCAAACTTAACCAAAACTTAATCAATTTTGATGAAATTTTAGTCAAACTTACTTGAAATTTTACAAGGATCACAATGGTGCTGACCATTTTTCCAAATACTGCACACACACACAAATTCGATGGAAGATGCATAATGGAGTTTTGAGATGCATTTTGAAACTTTAGAGTTGAAACAGATGCAATCAAGGGTGGGCAATGAGTTGAGCAAGTTCCAAACATGAAAAGGGAAGAGTTCCCTCAAGAAAGTTTGTTTTAAAAGCATCAAAGCAAAAAGTTGGTATGCGAGTTGCCATGAAAAGCATGCATTGGCTATGACCAACACCAAATGATCAAAACAATTGAGCATAAGCTAAGTTTCAAATACACACAAATTCCAAATGCATTACCTATGATGAATTATGATGGAACCAATTCAACTCCTTAATAGAAACAGAAACATGACTGTTAAAACAGCATCAAGCATGCTGACAGAATAAATACACCAAAATATTCACAGCAATTTGACAATTAGCATGCAGAATACTCTCAGACCAAAACTCAACCTGTATGCAATGAGCTCAAACCATGAATTTTGAAAAGCCAAAGAAAGTTCCAATGAGGAAACCAGGTTGACAAACTCTCCAACTAGTGGCAGATAGTAAACATAAGTGCATCATAATGCAAGCAGTGAATTGTGTATAAGTTGGTCAATTGACTCCAACATGGAAAACAAATAACCAATTCTTGGTATTTCATCCATTGATGAATTCCAATCATGGTGTTTTGACAAGGATGCAATCACAACAATGATTTAAGAAAAGAAAAATTAAAGCTCAGATC